TATAAATTGTTTAAAACTGATTTCACTTTTGAACCTTATCTGATTATGTTAAGACCTGCCGAAAGAGTTTGTCTAAGTTTCGGTGTGGAAATCATAAGTTACCTATCTCTGAGCGCAGGTATGATCGTGAAAATTTCCCCCGGAAATGTACTCTTTGTTTGACTGGCAATCAAGGGGACAAATATCATTATGTACTTGTGTGTTCTTTTTTGATAAAGAGAGAAGAGAGTTGGTTGGACAGTTCTACAGAGCAAATCCAAATATTTATAAGTTTCAAAAGTTAATGTCATCTCGAAAAGTAAAGGTCTTGTCAAATTTGTTGAAACTTTTAAAGAAAATCTTGAATAGTTTCTCTTGATTTGCTTTGACTTGTATGTATGTACACAAATTCTGTTTTATTTATTTTGTTGTGCATTGGCTGCCGCCTGTTCTGATTTGTTAATGTTATTTTTTGTTGTCTGCCCTTTATACCACGGGGAGGGGTCAAAAGGAATAAATGAAATGAAATGAAATGAAATGAAGTAGCCGCTGTGTACCAAAAAGCTATGATAACGTTGATGAAACCATGTCATCCGATACTTCATGGAGTATTCGTTCAGCGTCTAACAGCTAACAGCGGCGCAGTGATGCGAGGAGACAGGTGAGGTGTGTGAGGTTGAGTCACTTGTCGCTGTTAGCTGTTAGCCGCTGTTAGTGGCCAGCCCCGCTGTTAGCTGTTACCCGCTGTTAGTAGCCAGCTGTTAGCCACTGTTTGCGGCCAGTGCCGCTGTTAGCTGTTAGTCACTGTTAGCTGCTAACAGTGGCGCTGGCCTGTGATTGCATTACCCTTGTCCTTCAGCAGCTCTCTCCACCTGGGAAAGGCTACCCCCAAGTTGACCCTCGTTTTTTGAATTCGCCAGTCACGTTGCCTTTTTGATTCCCCTTTGTGCTTTCTTGGCGACAAGGATTCCATCTCCCTTGATGCTGCATATGCATGATCCTGCATTATGCTCAAAGAGTGGGACTTTGTTATGCTGCAGTAGTGCCGGGGTAGTAGCAAAGCGCCTCTTGCTCCTCTCCTTAGGCTTCTCAGTCATGCAGCACTGGCCTGGCTCTCAACGAAAATGCCGAAAGTGTGGCTGTATGTCCCTTGCTGGTGGATGTATTCTCAAGATGGCAAATTGTTATGGAACCCTCCAGACAACTTGCCTGCACAATGTACAAACAAATCCGAAATTCTCCTTTTACCAGAATAAGTCAGATTTTTGGTGGAGGTAATAATACACCAATGATGACATATTTATGAATGCAGACATTGACTGTGTGACTGAAAACGTTACACAATGTCCCTTTAATATGAAGTGATTATTTCATTCTACTGTCGCCCCTCCTTTCAGTGGGAAAACAATTACCGTAATACTGCAATAGTGGTGGGTCTCGATTTTCAGTTCATTGGGTTTCATCCAATTAAGCATATTAAGCAGGCACATTATGCCCTCTCCTTTACAATGGTATTGGCTCATTTCAAGAAATGCAAGTTTTCCTCTTCGTCTTCATTCATAAAAATAAATAATTCACATGCGTATCATGCAGTTATCTTACCACACTTCCTGTATCATTTCAAATCAAAAGCCCCTCAGCGATTTCTCCGGTGTGGGTTTTATATGTGACCGACATAGAATATAGCTACTATTATCTAGCACAATCAGTTAAAAACGCATTCAGTATAGTATTCGTATTTACTCACATTCCTTTACTTTCAGGAAATACAGTTTGCAGTTTGCATGCGTGTCTATGCACGTGCTTTCACATCAGCTGTTCATCAGGTGGCAGTTCTTTAAATCTGCTAATATTTGATATCTTGCTTTCGCTGAGTTATAGTGTTCAGCTAGCCTCTATGAATAAGTAATAAAATGAATGTTTCAAATTGATAAATACATTAGAAAATTGAAATTAAAATAAGAATTAAAGACAAATATAAAGCCTAGATAAATAATACAATGTGGGCAATAATTAATAATAGGCTGACGTGTAGTTAAAGCATAATGAACAGTGTTCACATTCAAGTAAATCAAGGACAGGAGGATGCTGTGTGCTGGAAGCCCTCTAAGGTAATTGAGATTGTGATATTGGTATTCATAGATCAACTTCTAATTGAATCAATTTTAATAATTGTTCAGCCCCTCCTGGATTGCTCTGTGATTTGGCTACAATGAACTTGTCTGACTAATTCGTAATCACTTCGGGTTGTCTGTCTGTGCGTTATAGCAGTCTTTTGATGGTTATTTACACACTGTCCATAACAATAACTATGTCAGGTAACAAACTGTGTGGACTTGGATCGGGTTTGGTCAGGAAAATGCAGCCCAAGCTGCGCTCTAGCGTGCTCACCTGTGCGTGTGCGCACGTGTCTGCGTGCGCATCGAGACGGAGCCCGCTCCTCTCCTCTCCTCTTATATGCTTTCCTCACAAGTGTGTGAATTGACCTGGATATGAAGCGTCCGTAGTGCCAAATAATATAACGGTAGTTTCTAAAGAGCTAAGACGAAAAAAAATAAATAAATCAGCAGCGGCGCTGCTAGGTGCATATAGGGGAAACCCTGTACTTCAAATCAGTTAGCCCCTGTTAATGACCAAGCTGTACAGGAACATAGGAAATGCACGCACTACCATTAATATATTTAAGAAGGCACAAACAGTGCGTAAATACAGTAAGAAATAGTTAAAGACAGAATATTTTGGTTGGTGTCAAGCAATAAACTCAAGAATTCGACAGTCCATGTCCTGTAGATGAAGCTATCCTTAGTGGTGTGGGATCAGATGCAGGCACTTCGTGGTCATGACGGTTGGGGCTCAATCATCCTGTTTGCTCTATTCTACACCCTGACTAAAGAGGTCCTCGCGATGGCAGCTGTGTCCTGGTGGCGCTCTGGGCCGTATTCTCAACCCTTGTGCTATTTTATAATTGTCATGTTTTCAGACTGTCTGCAGTTCAGTGGTGTGCCACACTGCTCAGTTCTGGTAATCACAGTTCCCAGTCGTAAATAGTTTAATGTAATTCAAGCTGTCTTTCACAATTATATCCATCTCAAATTCACTAATTCTATGATGTCATTGATGAATCGGTGCCCGGAAAGGGCCTCAGTCCGTGTCACATAGAGCAGAAAGTAGGGCAGCCTCTAATCAGCCTGACCTTTTCCTGATCTCACGTACATTAAGGGCGTACATAGTAGTTGGTAACTCATTTTGAGCTCAGCAAGATGGCCGCTTGGTCGCCCTCTCATATGCATATGGCATCATTGCGCCATAGATGCTTGGTTCATATTCAGCAGTGATCCAGAGCATCATTCATCTACTGCCTACAGGGGAAATACAGCCAGTCAGTATACTCTTGAAGATGCTCATGCAATCTCTAATCCTTTTAGTGACACTCGTCCAGATAGAGATAGATGCATTTAGCATTGAATTTCCCAATCAAGTGTTGGTAGTATCTATTAAGGCTGAGCAATATGGGAAAAAAATAAAAAAATAAATAAATGAAATAAAATAATAAATAAATACATTTAAAATATGTGTGTGTGTGTGTGTGTGTACATATGTATATACCGTAAAACTCAGAATATAAGTCGCATTGGCATATAAGTCGCAGTCTATTTTTTAAGGTCTCAAACAGGGAAAACAAGGTTTTATATTACTATTAGTTAATAAAAACGCAATACAAGTTATTCCTACACTGTTTCCCTTTATTTTTAATTTGGAACACATTCAAAACACAATAACCTCTTAAGCAGCTTTGGTTACTTTTCAGATTGCAATTTTCCAAACAACCTCTTCAGGAAATAAAATTACGGTATAACAACATTGGTCAGCTTTCAGTGAAAATGTAGTGTAAAAATAAATAAAATCCTATTGTCTGTCCTGATTATTGCTTGGGCACTGTTATGTACGTGACAACACCTATACATAATACACACAGACACACATTGGCTGTTTGTTTCTCCCTCTCTCCTCGCTGGAAGTCTCGGACCTCCAGCCGCCCGCCTCAGCCTTGATTAAACGCTGAAAATAAAATAAAAGAGGGAGACATAGATTTTTCCTATTTTATCTTATTTTGTTTTATTTCTCCCTCTCCTCTCGCTAGAAGCGTCGGACCTCCCGCTCCCGTCTCAAACACAGAGGTCTCCCTCTCTGCAGCTGAGCACCCACGGCGCACGCCCAGCCTGTTAAATAGCCTGTAACCACTGTGTAACACAAACTCAGTGCTTTGGTCATTAAATAATGTCGGGCTCGGTTCGGGTTTGGACAGAAATATGCTGCCCTGCCGCACTCTAACACACACACACACAAATACACAGAAAACCGGACATTATCATCAGTTTATAAAAGACCCCCGGACGCCCCGGACGGGACGTAAAAAGTGGACATGTCCGGGCAAAAGAGGACGTTTCGTCAGCCTAACGTAGCGCCATCTTGTGGGTCAAATTACCTATGTCAGCATTTACCTTGGTCTATAGGTCGCACCGGTCTATAACCCGCACCCAACTTTTTAGATGAAAAAAAAGGGAAAAAAAGTGCGACTTATACACCAAGTTTTACAGTGTATATATATATGTGTGTATATATATATATATATAAAATAAATAAATAAATTCATATCTCTTTATTTCAGGCTGACTGGCGATACACCATAATTATCTCGGTATCTTGAGTTGCAAGTTGAGCCACATTTGAGATGTCATAAGCAAAAAAACAAACAAAAAAAACCTGATCAAAATAAATGCAAAGACAGGGATCTTATCAGGGATCTTATTAAAACATGCAGCTGCACAATGTTACTCCTCAAATAGACTGTGCTGTAAAATGTAGCTGGTTCAAGGCACACCTGAAAGATGCATTGGACAAAGCTAAGTGGTGACGATTTCAAACACAAATGCACAATCGGCTTCACTATAACTCGCAGCATTCACAGACATAGGCTTGTCTTTTACTGGACACATTTTCCCCACAAATACATCATGCCAATATTTTAGCACAAGCCTATGGCACTTTAAATTGCATAAAGTAGCCTAGCAGCTAGCAGACTCTCCCCTACTCACATTAAGCCAGGGCCAACAGCAACATTAACAATGTCAGTTCTACCAAATAAAACCATGCTGAAAATTGCTGACTTTAATCTATGTTTGGTTATTTAAGTTGGTCTTCTGACCTTAATTTCTGTTTGGTCTTACAACCTTTAATTTCAGTTGGTCCTCACTGACCTTTTTTATGTTCAGCATATAGACACCCATGGTCTGCAGAACCATGCACTTTTCAGCCTTCCTTTCTGGCATATCACCATTATTTCTGATGTCACATCTTACTTAATCTCTGGCTTTTATATTGGTGGTTAGACCTCAACACGTTTGCTCTCAGCTTTCCTTTTCAATCTATCATCTATCACCATCCATTATTTTGCGGCTCCCTACCTCAGGGTATCCACGGATCCTTGAAAAGTCTTAAAAAGTCTTAAATTCATGTATCTAAAATTAAGGCCTAAAAATGTCTTAAATTCATTAGAAATGTCTTAAATTGGTCTTAAATTCCTTACTCAAAGGTCTTAAAATTGTTGCGGCAGGAATATTTAATCTGACTTTCTTTCTTTTCTTTTTTTTCCCTCTGCTACTACTACTACTACTCCTCCTTGCGTTCTGCTACCGTACTTGCACTATGCGCAGTCCGGCATAACAATGGGGAAGTGTAAGTTTAACGAGAGTTGGCTGGAAGACCATAGATTTAGAAACTGGCTCAAGTCGGTTGCTGGCCAGCCAGATGAGGCAAGATGCATTTTCTGCAAAAAAAAATTCAAGCTCGGCACTATGGGCATTAAGGCGGTGGAGAGTCACATGCAAGGCGAGAGACACAAAACGGCTGCTAAGAGCCACCAACAGACGCCAGGAATTTTGCAGTTCTGCAGCGTGTCTGCCCCGGGCCCAGTGCCCCAGACGACGGCTGCCGCTGCTAGCAGCTCTGCTGATCTGAGAGCAACGTTTGGCTGAACACCGACACTAATAGCTGAAGTTTTGTGGATTCTCAACACAATTACGAAGCACCAGTCCTACACCTCCAATGAGGGGATTGGAGATCTCTGTCGTTTAATGTTTCCCGACTCCCAAATCACCTGCACATTTGCTTGTGGAAAGGACAACATGGCCTACGTAACAAGTTTCGGAGTAGTACCTTACATCAGAAATCAGCTTATCTCCAATGTCAGCGAGTCATTTTTTTGTTTTAATATTTGACGAGAGTCTAAACCACGCAACAAAAAAGAAGCAACTCGACGTGCACGTGCGATATTGGGTCGGGGATCAAGTGCATTCACGTTACCTGGGCTCACAATTCATGGGGCACACAACAGCTCAAGATTTAATGCACCACTTCAAAGTAAGTAATACGCATTTTGTCAATGACTAATTGTTAGCGTAACGTTCATTTTGGCAGATACTGGCAATGTTATGATGTAGGCCTATTCAGTATACATAGGGAATGATGCTGTGTTAGCTAGATTATCGCAACATCTAAAAAACAAACTACAAAAGGCTCAAAATAAATTGCTGAGGGTTATATTACAGCTTCATCCACGTTCACATCTTGGTCCTGCACATTTTGAAAAGCTTAACTGGCTGACGGTGGAAAAAATAACTACTTACATTAAAGATGTTGCTCCCTTAAAAAATTGTTAATAATTTTGATTATCATCATATTCATGTCATTCTCAGGAGTATGTGGAGAGGCTGAACCTGAGGAACATGATGTCCATCTCCATGGATGGACCAAATGTAAACTGGAAGTTCTTTGAGCTTCTACAGCAAGAGCATGCTGAGCAGAATGGTGGTGCCCAGCTGGTTGTTGTAGGTAGCTGTGGCCTCCACACCCTACATAATGCATTCAAATGTGGATTCTCCATGTGGCAAGTGGAGAAGGTAAGATAATTATAACTAAGATAAGTAATCTTTCATTAGTCCCACAAGGGAAATTGGAATATTACAGCAAGTGGATATTTAACAGGATTTAAAAAGAGAGCATGAATTTGATTCAAATGATTACAGATGTTTCATACTATTTACATATTATGTACATTAAAGTTCAGTCGTTCTGTCAGTTTAGTTCTGGTATGTGTCACTGTGTGTGGTCTACTGGGGATCAGTGCTGGTTGTCTAGTCTGATAAGGGCCTGCAATATTGCTCCTTTACACACTTTTAGTGAAGGAGTTAGTCACTTTAAGAGCCCACCAGTGCTATCAGTGTTGTGCATGGATGGGTAAAAGTCATTCCCCATCAGAGATGACGGCTAATTCATCATTCTCCTCTCTCCCACCAAGGTGTTGAGGGCGATGCACTTTCTTTTCCACAATACACCAGCGAGGAGGGATGACTTCATTGCTGTCACCAAATCCTCGGTCTTCCCATTACCATTCTGTGGCCATAGGTGGATTGAGAACTTGCCAGTTGTGGAGAGGGCTATGGAGGTAATAATGATACGGCTTTTTTTATATAGTATCTTTCAAAACATAGTAACAAGGTGCTGCACAATGTATGATAAAATAGACATGCATGATAAAATAATATACACATACATGATGAAATATTAAAGGTGTGGCCATCACTGGTGAAGTATGTGGGTGCAGTGAGGATGAAGAACGTTCCAAACCCTGGAACAGCCTCCTTTGACATCATAGAAGCAGCCCGGGCAGATCCGCTCATCTTGCCCAAGATACACTTCTTCATGGCTATCTCAAGGACCTTCACTCCCTTCCTGACAAGTACCAGACTGACGCACCAGTCATGCCATTCCTTTGCAAAGACTTGGCTGAATTGTTCAAGGTAATCAAATTAACAATCAACAAGAAAAGCAAAACAAGTTGAGTACATACTGTATGTGTGCGTGCATGTGTGTGTGAGCATGCAGAAATGGGAGAGGCTATTGAGTGGCTTGATTCATCAAACTCATCCCTAATCAGTACTTAAAATTACTGAAAGATTATGTTTTGGCTAAGTAAAGGTCACTCATCATACTCTTATTGATATATTGCTTATGGTGATAAGAGATTATTTTAAATAACTATATAGAAATTCATAGTTAATGTGGTTATCAAGGTACTTGCTTTACAATAATCATGCATTTTCCTGTTACTCTTTCAGAGTGTGCTTAGAGGGAGCATCTCCACGACATCACTCCACTTCAGCTTGTCAGGCTGGATGTCACTGATCAGAAGAGCTGGGTCAACCTGAAGGAAGCTGACATAGGCTTGGGTGCTGAGGCAGCCCTCAAGGTAATTTAGATGTATTACTTAACTTTCTATCAAATGATGGTTCATATCCAGGCAGGAGAGAATACTGTTAGGCCATTCAGCTGTATTTACCACACATTACCCATCTGTCAGTACCTCCAGAGAAAGAACAGCGTAGGAGAGCTCACTGCCCTAGAGTTTAGGAAGGACTGCGTGAAGGGTATGTCAAATATCCTAAAGAAAGTCCAGGAGAAGAGCCCCCTGAAGTACCCCATCGTGAGACAGATGGCATGTCTGGACCCCACAGTCATGTACACCGACCCAGATTGGTGCCAGGGAAAAATGAGAAATGTAGTGCACAAGTCTCTGCAAGACAAGCAGTTGTCTGGAGGTGTCTCTGCTGGTATGAATAGTTAATAGAATAGTTATGGGAATGTTGTTACTGATTATTAGCCAGTGGACAATTGGACATAAGTCTGTCTGCTAATATCATGATTAATCATCTAAATAATATTTCACATATTTCCTTTCATCTGTTTTGTTACAGGTGATGTGATTATCCAACACAGCACAGCATTTTGTATTGAGTATCATTTTATGCTCAATAAACAGACAAAAAGTAAACTTGAATGAATCTCATTGAGTGACACACATGCTATGCTTCGGTTGTAGTACAGCGGGATCCCCCAACCATCGCTTATATTTATAGTTTTTTTGGTCTTAAATTTCATTCAAGGTGGCATTAAAAAGGTCTTAAAAAGTCTTTAATTTAACTTACTGAAACCTGCAGATACCCTGCTAGCTGTCATTCCAGACATATTCCTACCACACGTTTCTCACCAAAGTTGTACTATCTCATTCATGGCTTATTTCTGTCATATACGTAACTATGCACATATCCATTCCATAGTCTTTCACATTTGCTTTATGTGCATTTCTCTAGCTACGCGTCTCCCCTTAATTTTCTCTTTACTTATTTATTAGAAGCCTGTTGCCTGCTGGTAAGGTAAAGATCACCTCATGTCAAACGGTCGGTCGTCCCTCTCCCTCCTTAGTCTTTTTTTGGGGGGATTCCCTATTCGACTATGGATTCATCACCCTCCTTAAATCAAACCATCTCTACGGGGTCTAATCTTTCCACATTCTTAATCATACGTTCACATGTTAATAAATATTCTTTTACCAAAAAAACAAGTCTCTCCTGATTGAACTGAAGCTCAGCATAAGTTCAATCAGGAAGACCTTCTCTATGCTCATCCTTTCACATTTCTCTCCATCCCACTCTCACTACTCCCTCTAATCAACTGACTATGGGTGTTCACTCCTCTAGTTATCCAATCACACTTTGACACAATCTCTCAGCCAATCAGGATGCCCCTGCAAAATTTTAAATCTGCTCTCTCTTCTGCTGATGCCAGCCATCATTTTAGGCAGAATCTTTGCACCCTCCTCCACCCCGTTCATCTCCAGCCATCGTATCCAGAGTCCAGGACAAGCTCTCGAAGACTCATTCCTCCTCTCATCCAGATCATCGGCACTTTTTCATCTTCCTCTCATCTCATCTTCACCATTTCTACCACCACCAGCGTCTAGACCCCGGGGGGTTCCCTATTCGACTATGGATTCATCACCCTCCTTAAAGAAAACCATCTCTACGGGGTCTAATCGCCAGACTTTCCACATTCTTATTCACATGTTAATAAATATTCTTTTACCATAAAAACGAGTCTCTCCTGCTTGAAATGTTTTTACCAAATGTCAGTCTTCCAAGTATTACTCCTCAATAACATGATCTTCATTTTTAAACCTGATTGTTTGGGACACTTTATGGCGGCACAACCAGCTGTAAACACAAAACTAACTTATTATTCACTTCTAACGTTGTTATTGGAAAGGTGTTGTAAACAGTTGTCTATCTACACGAGGCAGACAGAGCTGAGATGAGGGGAACTCCCCAGCTGCTGGCATCAGCTGTTGGAGGAGCTGGTTGTGACTATCAGTGTTCAGCTATTTCTTCTGTCCTTGTCCCAAGTAAATTGATAAGAAAAAAACAGTTTTCTTATCAGTTTACTTGGGACAAGGACAGAAGTAAGGAAGGAGTTTAAACCTCCTTTGTCATTGACTACAGGAACCATAAACCATCATGCCAGTCCCTGGCTAATAGCACCTTTTACACTGCCAGATTTTCCGTGAATGTTGGGCCGTTTTGGCGGCAAGCTGCCGTCGTTTAGACACACAGAGGCGGATTGGTGAGTTGATCCGAGGCGCCCAATTTTCCACCTCGTAGGGTAGTCATATTGGCGGAACCCTTTTAGTTTAAACAGACCGAGGCGGCCTTCTGCAACAGGAGAGGCTGTTGATGACTTGTGGGAGGAGCTGTTGATGACGCTGCACGTGCGAGCCACTGGCAGTGGATAAACAGGAAACAGCTGATAGGAATTAGCGAGCAGCTAGTAGCAAGAGGGAAACACAAACCTGACAGACACTGTAATGATGAGCAACTGGGGAGACAAGGCATTGCGCGCCCTCCTTGCCCTCGCAAACAAAGAGGCCGTTAACCATCAGATGACGGGGACGGTGAAGAACGGGCCAATTTATGAGAGAACTGACGCCTGACTATCGCCACCTGACTAGCCGCGACTTCCCTCCCACGTTACTGTTTACATCACATGCTGAGCCACATGTTTTGTTACTTGGTCACACCCCGCATTGCCCCGAAAAATGCGCATTCTCTATAAACAAAAGTAGGCAGGCGGCATTTTGCCACACTCCCCGATTTTGTTTTTATACTGCCAATGCTGAAAAAAGACTGATTGGACTTTCCTGCAAATTTGCACAATTCCTATCTAAAAAGGGCTTTTGATTGGCTATGAACCAGAAGTATGAGGAATCCACACCGTTTCAACATAGGTCTTTGTTGGCTATGAGGCCATAGCAACAGCACTCGAAGCTCCTATTGGCTCAAGTGAGATGTCAATGAAAAGCTCACAAGTTCAGCCTCCATTTTGACATCCAAGCCCCCTGTTTACATACAGAACAGGAGAAATAATGGATAATATGTGAAGAATTATGAACATTTGACATGATGCAACAGCAGTTTGTGGATATCTATGGATGTAATAATGTGTTTGGACTAAATATTTAACTGGATTTAGATCGTCTGGACCACTGGCAGTGTGTGAGAACTGTGTCAGCAGTGTTTCTGTTGGGATAATCTATGGATTAAAATTAGGCCTCATAGGTGAGTAATAACTTTGTTTTTTGTTTTTTAGCCTGCTCTGTCCAGAGTGGATGCTGGGAAGAAAGGATTGTGAGATACTGGGAGGAACTTGCTTGCCTGATTGAAACCAAAATGTCTTCTAAACTGTAACCAAATCTTAAGCGAGGCCTTAACGACAGGGTTCTGTTTTGTATACTGGTTTGTATATTCCGACTGTATTAATACGACCCACCAATGAAATTGGCAGTGGCAGCCATTTACTTAAATCTTGCCTTGTTCGCTCTAATAACGGCTTAAAATTGTATTCGTACAGCCTTCCCATTGAGTTTGTAACTTTAATTCCCAAATATGTAAAAGCATTTCTTTCCAGTTCGAATGGGAAGCTGGAATAGTCGCCATCAATTTTGTTAATTGGAAACAGCAGGCTCTTCGAATAGTTTATCTTATAGCCTGATAAATTACCAAAATTATCGCGGACACGTAGCAGTTTTGGTATGGAGTCCATTGGATCAGATATTAACAGTTCATCGGCATATAGTGATACCTTATGACACTTGTCCCCCCGGCAGATAGGTCCGTGTACTTCGCGGTCATTCGTTTTTCGTTTCGAAATAACAAATTGAAACACAGAAAACCAACCATTACCCGTTTTTTGTTTTGAAATGACCAAACGAAAAGGAAAAAAACGATCCATCTCCTGTTTTTTATTTGATAATAAAGAAAAGAAAAACGGAAAACGAATCGTTATCCGTTATCCATTATCCGTTATCTGATTTAATTTGGGAATTTAAAAAAACCCTGTGGGAAACTCCTTTCTCTATTTTTGTTTGTTTCTTCTCTGTGACCAGTAAGTTGCATTCATGTGGTCTATGAAATGTACGCATGTACATTTCCTATAACTACTAGAATATTGCTTTATCTGACATGTTATGCTAATAAATAACTTTTCTAACTAATCTAGGTCAATCTACATGGACAGCAACTAACGGCATACCACATTACACATGGGTCCATGTCATTGGTCCAACATCCCATTAGTCCGACGTCCCGTTGTTCCGATATGTGATTATTACTGTATTTGTGTACCATAGAGGATCAGCAAACGCAACAAAAGTAGGCTACTGGTCAAGATACAAGTGCCATAGAGAGAAGAGAATGAAACACCATAACCTCCTGTTATTAACTCTGGGGTCGGGCTTGTGTGGGGAGCTCTCCGCAGTGCTGAACGGCTCCCGGCGAGCGTATTTCTGCCTTGATGGTGCGCCGCGACCGGCTCTGTGTCAGCTGGGAAAGGCTTGAGGCGAAGCAGGCTCACGGCTTATGTGTTTGCCACTTTCTTTTTCATTTTAACCCACACCATGATCTTTTCCTAACCCTAACCAAGTGGTTTTTGTGCCTAAACCTAACCAGACCTGAACCACAGGGCATCATGATGATTTCGGAACAACGGGACTTCGGAACAATGGGTTTAATATGGTCGGAACAATGGGATGTCGGACCAATGGGCTGTCGGACCAATGGGCAGTTCCCATTACACATTACATGTCCGCAGAAAATGATATGCAAAACGTGAAATAATAAAAAGTTTTATTACCATGGACCAAACGTTCCTTTTCGTCCCCCAGTTTTCTGTGAAAGTGACGTCAATTTCAGTCAAGTCGGCAACTCCTGTTCCAAAATTATCTCCGAGATGTTTTTCCGACATGAGCGAGCATTCGTGTGTATTTTCCCAGTCGGAAAGTAATTTTTCCGATTATTCCGACACCACATGAATGCAACTTACTGTTTTTTTTTTCCTTTTTCATTTGGTCATTTCAAAACAATAAAGGGATAATGGTTGGTTTTCTGTGTTTCAATTTGTTATTTCGAAATGAAAAAGGAATGGCCACGAAGTACACGGACCCAGATACCCCTGACACCCTCATCTGCTCTAAGGGCTATTGCGAGCGGCTCAATCACCAAGTCAAACAGATATAGGGAGAGGCTACAGCCCTGTCTGCAGCCCCTATAAAGCGGAAATAGTCAGAAATTACGTTATTTGTACGCACTGCAGCTGTTGGTGATTGACATAATATCTTAATCCAAGATATGAATGATGGGCCGAAATGAAATCTTTCGAGAACAACAAATAGATACCTCCATTTAACGCGATCAAACGCCTTCTCAGCGTCTAAGGAGATCACTACCTCTGCCTGTTCTGTGGAGTGTGGCACATATAATATATTGAGAAGGCGGTGCATATTGCAGAAAGACTGTCTGCCTGGTATAAACCCGGTCTTGTCCTGGTTAACACCTGATATTACGGTTTCAATACGGGCGGCCAGAATTTTTGTAAGAATTTTATAGGCACAATTGAGCAAGCTCACTGGACGATATGAGCCACACAACAGAGGGTCTTTATCTTTATTAAGTAACACTGAAATAATTGCTTGCGTCATAGTTTGAGGTAATTCCCCTTTGTCGAAAATGTCTTGATATACTAATTTAAGTATTGGTGCCAATTTGGTTGCAAATTCTTTATATAGTTCAACTGAAAAACCGTCCAGGCCTGGTGCTTTATTGCTCTGCATGGATTTAATTGCTTGTACCACCTCCTCTGTTGATATTTCTCTGTCTATTTGCGCTCTATCCTCTGCTGTGATTTCCGGTATTGTCAGGCCATCCAAGAAGTCAGAAATGCATGTCAAATCATTAGGCGGTTCTGAACTATAAAGGGGAGTGTAAAATTGTTTGAAATGGTCATTTA